CGCTGTTTCATCCAAACAATTTCCTCATCTACTGTAGCTGTCGCATGGAGAACGTCTTCTCTGTGCGTCTCATCTTCGGCGCTGGCACCATCTCAGAAGCAGCGTAAAGGTTTGAATGGATCCGTGCGAAATTCACAACGTCTTGGCAGTTGAGGCATTGTCCTTCTCCCACGAAGACGGTTTGACTTTTTGAGCAGGAAGTGACTATAAGTGGTGGATTTCTCTTCCTTTCAGCATTAATCACCAGAGGGGGATTTATTTTTACATCCTCTCTTTGCGATATTGAGTGTGCCTCCCGTCTTCCCAGGAGTCCCAGACCCTTATGAACATTGCCGCTAGGGGAAGAATGAGGGAAGGAAGGAAAATTACTGTATTTTTAAGACGTTGTCATGCTTCTTATTCTCTCCCTGTCTCCCCCACATAAAATCTTTAACACCGCCAACCAATGACACTTTAGCTTTGAATCTGCTTCCAAGGAAAGGAAGGAGAAGCAAAAGTCACAAGTCTCCTGGCCTTATCTGCTTATATCCCTCGATTCCTCTCCCTCATCAACCCCCTGTACCCATTCCTTTCCCTCGAACTCAAGTCACAGGCCTTTTTTCCCGAAATTCATTTCAGCCTTGATGGATATACTAAGCACCGGCGGCTTTTGATTTAGGCTTCTGATGCTGTCTGCCTCTCCTAACATCCACTTTGGGTGCAGCGCTCCATCACATTGATTTCTCTGAAGATGAAACTGTGATTGAACAGACCTCTCCTGGCGGCCGAGGGCCCCCGCGTGTGACATGCACTGTTACAGCATATGAAGGAGGACGCTGATGCACCCTATCACCCTATCACCTGACTGGCAAACGACGCAAGCCCAAGGAATCGCTGCACCTTACGACCTACATTCAGAGATGACTCTTTTATGTAAAACTTGTTCTATCACAATTCCTCTGAACCAAACATCCCACCATCACGATGAAGGATACAGAAACGTACCGTGTAATTAAATGGCTACAGTTCAGACATTTACTCAGTGATGCTTACAAAGTCTGCTCGATAAAACCGCAAGTGACCAAAAGAGTGGAAATAGAGTTTTTTTATTTTCACCTCCACTCTTTGAAGGCCTCGTTGTACTTGGACAAGGATTGGGCAGCACACAATTTACCTCCAATGCCAACGGTTAGTGCCAATGCAGGAACCAATGTGCCCTCTATGTAATGAAGCAAAAACTAAGGGAGTCAGGGTGGTGAATATGTGTAGTGTGCTCAACCTTCACAGCAGAGCCCAGAACCCACATCCCATCTCAGAACAAACATTGATGTTGTTTTTTAATCGCGATCTTCCCCTAAACTCGACCCTAAAAGTAGCTTCCTCAACAGAATAATTGAAAACTAATTTGATATTAGAATATAAATTTGCGTGTTTTGAATGTGCCAGTCTCGCACATTCAGACACATGCAGGTGTCTGACATTAGAATGAAGGTAGCCTGTGCATAATTCAGTTGAACCTGTCCTAAATCTCTCTCCTCTCTCTCGCTCCGTCTCTCTCTTACTCCTATCCTCATGTAACCCTCCCCTTTTAAAATGTGTCTCTCTCTTCCTTCCCCCTCAGTATGTGTGTTTGTGTATGAAGATCTTTCAGAGCTTTAACCTTCACAAGACCATAAGGAGAAACACATATGGTTTGATGTTGATGCATCACAAATAAGTTTGAATTGAGTCCGCGTGAGTTGAGGAGGAAGTCGGGATGGTCAATGGTGGTTGGGATAAAGAAATGACAGGACCTTCACCCAGGAGACTGCTGTTCTTGTCCATTGTGAACCAATTACTTTTGTTGCCCAAACCTAACCAAGTACTTTACTTGCGTTTTTGATTTCTTTAAATTTTATAGTAACTTTAAGGCAAACCATGAAGTTTATTCCTGAACCTAACCAAGTAGACTTGTTGCCTAAAATTTTAAAAAAAAGTAATTTCGTTGCGGTTTGTTTCAATTTACAATGTTCAAACTTTCACAAACTGCGACCGTAATCCGGGAGAAAATATGTTTCCCTCAAAACATTAATTGAGAGTGCAATTTAGTTGTATGGAAATGTAATTGCTCATTATACCGGGCCTGCACACACACACACCACAGTTTTGGGAAATGACTTTAACACTGGATTCCTTAATTATGCATGAATGCAATGTTAAAACCCTAATTAAATAAATGTGTTGACTTCTTCATCGTATTACTTATCTTGTCCTTTATCCAGAAATAAATGGATGATGGAAGGAATTAACAGAGGCTCTAATGACCTCTTGGTGTTCTATTAGTAGCTGCCTTGAAAACCTCTTCTTCTTGTGAGAGGTTATCCACCTGCTCTTTATCTCAGAGGACATGCATATATACACATACTGTAGGCCACTTCTTTAGGTTGCAACTGCTAGTGCCTGTTCACGGCACTGGTGTATCTTTACATGACCAATAGAATAGTTTTTGTAATCTTGGGACCAAAGTAACTACATTTCCAGGTTACCAACAGACACTATTACTCTGTAAAAGTAGTTGTAAAAGAGACTGGATGAGGATCAATCAATCAGCTCCACTCTTGTTCTCTTTAAAAGCATTACACACTTCATATAGACTTCTGTAGCTGCACCACAAAGGCCTTTCAGAGTAAACAGATGTTGTGGTCCAGGTGGTGTGCCATTTTAGAGCACAAATATTCTGTATGGCACGAGATTTAACTATTTTCTACTCACAGTAATTAACTGAGAGCAGACCCTTCAGTCGGTCCTCCTCACAGCAGCCATTTTGACATGTCATAGCAGGGTAAACACAGCTGTAACTGATAAAACTAATTAAGGTCCCATTCCATTTAGTGTCACAGTCAATCCAGTGAGCCAGCAGCACATTACCAGGCGCCGGGCCTACCGAAATAGAACAGGGCCATAATTGATGTTATAAATCACACCTGTGTGGGGAAATATTTTCTGTTGGGCAAAAAAATAAAAAATCAACTCTTTTAGCATTGTTAGCATAATTCAGTGAAGATCCTCACTTCATAATGGATTTCAGTTAATGTTTCTGGTTAATTGAAATCATCAATGCTCAGGACATATATATTATTATACATTTCAGTGTTTACATTTTACTCTCATTCCAAAGAAAAAAGTAAATTCCTGTACAAACGTATCTGCATTGATCTATATTTTTATAAAAGTCAACGTTTCGGTAACAAGGATCTTTCTCAAGACGTATCCATACATCTTACTCTCAGCCATTGTCTAAAAGAGGGCTGTGTGCATAAGCAGTTGAGGGGGCTAAAGCACTGTGTGTTCCCAGTTGTGCCTTATGTCAACATCTGATCAAAGCACGCACACACACACACACTCACACTAAGAAAAACACAAGCATAAAAAATGCACACAGCTGAATGCATTGGGTTGCTTTAGTGTACCCCCAGGGTACTGAGTAAGCCAGCTTGATGGTTCCCTGATCGTTGCAAATGATCACATTGCATCAGTAGAAAATCCTAAATAAACCTTTTAACAGGCTTCTCCTCAGTAATGCAGTAAATGGGCTTCTTATCCGAGAGGCCAATGGGTTCTTGGTCTACAAAGCCCCTGATACAGACGTTTGGGGTGCGAGTTGCAGCACTGGAGCAAGTAAAAGGTTTTTCATTGGTATGAATAGTCAGAAACAGGAATATCACTATTGTGGACATTATGCTACTCATGAAACAGTGATTTGTTTTTGTTGGAGAAATGTATCATACCATTCTTAGTTATAACTTGTATCACTAAACCTGCATATAATCTTAACCCTCTTCCCACGAAAAGGCTGGGAACCTGGCCTTGGTGTTGCAGCGGCCGACGGAGGATGACATCTGCGAGGGGGAGGGGGGTAAAGGGAGAGGAGACGAGATAATGCGCATATATACTCTGTTTTGTCTATTCATTGTTGTTAGACCTCCGAACCATCCGTGGGGAAAGAGCTCTAGCCATTCAGCTGAATTTTTATTGAAGTGTCTGTTTAATAAATATGTTTTTGTATTTTAAGTTAAGAGTTTTCTCATCTCGATTATTTCTCACCGGGAGGTTAAAAAGATTATTTTCCACCACAGTTTTCATAATAATGTGTTTTAAATCTTCTAACATATGTTATACACTGGGTTTTTTATACAGTACATGACTGAAATGTTGATTCATGAATAGTGTATTTCCTTAGTTGTATTATGTGTTTTAATTTAAAAAATATTATAACTCAAGCTAGTAACAACGTTTGAAAAAAAAAGATCTCTGATCTGATGAGTTTTTTGCAATCTGTCTAAAGCTTGAGGTTCTCTATCATAAGCATCAATCTGCTATTGTCACAGACATTCTGACATGTCTGACAGAAAAAGCAGGTGTAATAAATTACATTGATTATTGCTGCATTACATTAAGACACTAGTAGTAGTACTGGTAGTGTGCATGCTAATTCACTGGGACACTTCAGTTGAGCCCTCATTCAGTTCCACCTGTTCATTTCCTGCAATGGTAGTAACAATGGCTATAATCTTGTTTGAAGATATGGGCTGATAATGCTTGGGCCTGCCAATATAATATCAATATTATTTTATATTTCCTATCATTAACCTTTTACCACAGTTTTAACAAATGCAAAATAACAATGCAAAGTTATTACAGTATGATGACTGAATTTCAAACAGCTGCAGTTCATTGTCACATTTTCCACGAACATCAAACCAAACTCTGATATTGTGAAATATTTCAATCAGCTCTTCTGACTATTGCAGTATTTATTTCATCATTTTTGTCCACATACATTCTCCACATTGCATGCAGTGTCTACTTTCTTCACGTGTGACAAAACAAAGCAGGATGTAAAAAAAAAAAAAAAAAAAAAACTGAGCGAAGCCTCATCAAAAGAAATAAGAATGTTCTGTCAGTGCATTATCGTTGGAAGAAGGTTACGTTTTTTCTGCTTGATGTCAAGTTAAGTTGTCGGTGATTGGTGTACGTCAGATGTCGTTTAAAGCGCAAAGGAAAAAAACTGAAGAAAAACGAAGCTCGAGTGTTTTGACACTTGCGAGATGCCGTACTTCAGAATCCGGAAGCACTGCTGCTGTCATCTAAACAAACAACATGTAAGTAACATTTGGACAATAAAGACTTTACGTATTTTTTTTTTTTTTTACAGTACTTACTGGGACGTTTGTGCAAGGGCCGCTACGTTTTCTTTTAACAGTCAAAGAGACAGCATTAAAACGTTAAGTTAGCTAACCAGGAAACGAAAAGTCAGCAGGGAAGCTATGCAAGTTAGCAAACTTCACGGCTGCAGTGCCACATAGTCACAAACTCACCGCAGGGCCTCAGTCACTGTTTCATTTGGTTGATACGTTGACTATTTTGCTGTTTATCATTGTGTTAACGTTAACCATATTAGCATTATGTGATCGAGAAAATCATACTGTAGCTTATATTCAGACATTGTATCTCGTATCAAGCCATTTTATGAAGTCAGGAATATGTAAACTGATTATAGAACAACAATGAAGCTAACATTGTCGTTATTCAATGAGTTTGTCCATTGTTTGATTCAATGTAATGTTTACCAAATCGTGTGGACATGAGTAGCTAAGAGGTGTAACATGTATCAGTTTGATGAGCCTGACATTTGGATTTAAAGCTACTTAGTAACTTAAGTAACAGTACTTTTTGAATTGTTCACAGGGGCTGATTTTGGAGGATGTCATCAAGAGGTGTTGTCCTCCATATGCAAACCTGTGCAAATCAGACTGGTGACTGGAAGAAATTAACTGTATTCGGTTAAGCTTTTTTAAATCAGCAATGGCTCGGGAGGAAGATGAAGAGGAGCTGACTGTCGAGGAGCCCAAGCAGGTGGACATGTTTACATCTGTGCGTTGCCTGGGCTACCTGTCCAGCGTCAACCTCCTTGTGGCTGTATGCGTCGGCATGTACGCGCGCTGGGAGGTGACGAGTGAACCGATGATCCTGGTCATCTTCATCCTTGGCCTCTTTGTCCTGGGGATTGCCAGCATCCTCTATTACTACTTTGCTATGGAGAAAGCTAGCCTCAGCTTGTTCCATTTGTGGTGCGGCTTCTTGCTTGGCCTCCTCTGCTTCCTCAACAGCTCCAGCTTGAATTCAAATGTCAAGGAGCTGGTCGCCAACTATCTCCTGTTGGCCAGTGTAATCATGAAAACAGTGTGGGCTTTAACTGAGCGAATATGCAGCTCAATCCATAACAAACCCACCCTGCTCACATCAACTGAGCTACTGGAGCTCCTGGGATTTGGCATTGCCAGCACTGCCATGCTTCTTCACAAGTCAGTGGCCATTGTAGGTTTGGTGGTGGCCCTGGGGGCTCTCATAGTGGACCTGAGGATGAAATCCCTCCTGGCTTTGCCTAACCTGGTCAGTTTTGCCTTGGTCACCTCTCTGGTGTTCTTCCAGGCCTTAGGCATCACAGCCAACCCTTATGCTTTAGGCTGCTACATGGGCAGGCTGCTGTGTGAGCCTGTGTTGGATGTGTACTTCAGTGGGCTGGGGCCCAGCGAGCGCTGGACACCAGTGCTCTCCCTTGGGACGGTGTGGAGGAGGCTGTCTCTGCTGCCGCTGAGTCTGATGGAGCTGGCCTTCTTCGTCGTGGCTGCCTTAAAGGTACATTCAGACATTTCCATTATGAGAGTCTTTTGAGCTTTCATGTGACTTTCAAACTCAATAATGTCTTACGGTTTGTAACCCTTTATTCCACAGTGTTTCTGAATGATGATACAGCTTTTTGTATTACTCAGTTAGAAATGTTAATTCTGTGTTTCACACTGTTCTCTTACCTCACATAGCTCGGCCACTTGGAGCTCTGGTATCTGGTGATTCCAGGCTTCTGTCTGTTTGGCCTTTTCTGGTTCATCTGCCACATAATTCTGCTGATGACAATCTGGGGCTTCCACACCAAGTTGAGTGAGTGTCAGAGGGCTTGGCAGTCTCAGCGATCCAGAAGCCGGAGTCTCAACCAAGTCATGGCCTCCAGGGGCATCCGACACTTCTGCCTCATTTCAGAACGGCTGGTGTTCTTTAGTATGCTGTCAACGGTCATACTGGGAGCTGTTTCCTGGCAGGTAAGGAGACACAAGAGGGAATACTACTACTTTAACTCATATCATAAATATTATCATCAAACTATTCTAAGAAAGTTTGCAAAGCGTCTAACGATTTAAAAAAAAAAAAAAAAAAAAACATATTTCGTTCACTGTTGTTTTTATGCGTGCATCATTCTAGTCGTGTCATATTGTAAAGAAACCTCTTGGGTGCATTTAGCAAGTCTTTCATAGAAACCGTCATAGATCAAGGCGAGGGTCCTGTTTTCTTCTTACAGCTATAGCACTTTGAGTTTCATGACAAGTTCTCTATAAACGTATCATTTGCCCCACGTTATAAACTCTGAAGAGAGATGCTCGTGGCTCTGTGTGGTTAGTAGTTGCTCCCCAAGCAGAGGCACTTCTGCTCTCATGCAGAACCAATTTAATTAGCGCTTTAATATCCCTATCTACTTGAATAAAGAGCCGCAATAACTTATTTTGCCTTATTAGACGTTTACCTTGTCAGAGCCTCATGGGCCCGAGTCCTAATTTGAAATCTGCACATTGTTGATGTCAGTTGCAAATTTGCCAGAGCAAGTGGGCTGTCTGCACTCGTATACGAGTTTGTGTTTAGCTCCTGTTATGTATTCTTTTTTTTTTTTTTTATGTTTTACAGCTTTTTTTATTTACCTTTGCTGTTGGAATACAGTAATATTATACACGTGAAACACAAAATAACGACAATGCTGCAAACCAATTCTCTCTCTGTGAGAACCACTACTCATTTGCTTTATATTTTGAATTCCTCCTCTTGTACCGTGTTGTGCTTTCTCTGCTTTCAATACTATATTCAGACGTTGGAGAATATAGTATTTTGCATTTAAGCAGTAAACAAACTTCATAAAAGTTAAATGAATGAGTGTAACCCATTTTTCACTCCGGGCATACCTTGGGCAGTTCAATATATTATGCAAACTCAAGTATGGTTCCACTTAGGCATGCAGGTATTGATTTGCATTCTTGGATTCATTGCCATGCTATGAAATCAGAGTAGTTTTTTGAGGATGCTGTATTGCATTGCATGCCAACACAGTGACAGCCTAACAGTGCTTTTGTAGCACAAAATCTGCTTTATGTTTCCACTTGGTAATATGTATTTGAGTGTATCTGCAAGTTGACTTTCAAGCATTGAAATCTAAAGAATAGAAACTACAAGATTTAAGGCAACCCAGCGAGTGCAGGCTCACACACTGCAGTAATCATTCTGTTATGGATGGATCATTGTGATGTATGTTCAGTCTGCTGTCATACACTGCATCTTGCCTTCATTTAGTTAGGTCCTGTCATGTTTTGTCCTGCCGTAATAACGCTGTCAGTCCCATATTGTGTAACTCACGCAAAGTGTCACCACCAATTAGCTGGGTGTGTTTTGCTTTGGTACAAAGCTGTAAGTGATGAATGAAAGTGACTCGTGATGCTTTTGCTTCTTGCAGCCCTCCAACGGCCTCTTTCTCTGCGCTCTGCTGGTGGTGCTGCCTTTGGAGTCTCTGACCCACGGCTTGTTCCACGAGCTGGGCAGCTGCCTGGGGGGAACCTGTGTTGGCTACGCCCTGGTCATACCTACTGCTTACTCCAGGTACTGAAGAGAGAAGGGACACAGGAATGTAGAGATGCATGCAGTAGCGAGCAAGCAACAGCATAGCCTTCGAGTGAGTAGTGAGGCCCACAAAACACACCTCATTCACACGTAAACATTTGCCCCATGTCGAAGCCTTTCCTTGGCATCACAAGGCGCGGGTAAATATGAACGCTCATTCCAACTCCCTTCTCGGTTAACACAAAACCAACTGGATAAATAGGCCAATAACTGTGCATAAACATGCTGCTAATGTTTGGGCCCTTGAGGGATCATCCCAGTGCTCCCTCCGCAGCATACCAAGTTGTTCAGCTGGAGCAGTTAGCCATTAGCTGCTGCTGACTCTCCCACTACCCTTTCAGTTGGCGTAAGTGTTTTTTTTTTTTTCTTCAACAGCCGACATAGTTTTGATGATGCCGACACATCTCCTCCTCCTAAGCAGCAAGAGCTAGCCGTCAATTATACATGAGTGTTTCCATATTTGCCTTTAGAGATTTTTGGCTGATATATATGTATATGACCACACTCTGGATATTGAACCTTTTAGGTGATGGTTAGCTCTAGCATACAGAGGGGGATGCCAGCTGTAATGTTTAACTCTCCAGGTGATTTTGGATGCAGGCCCATGTCCTATTGGAGCTGTAGACGCTCTGTATGCGAGGCTGTACGTGCAGGGTCTGTTGGGAGGACTGCGAGCATGATGAGAATGCAGCCGTGAATAATGGGCTGTTTGATGGCTGCAGATCATGTTTTCACAACGACAAGAGCCCCACAGGGAGATCAGAGGGATACGGGTGAGAAGGGGAGGTGTGCTGGCTGAAACGGGGAGGGCGAGATGACAGGAGGGGGGTTGGGACACGAGGAGAGGGCTGAGTTTGTAAACGGTGAGTAGGGTTGGCGGTAAAAAACGAAAAGGGACAGACGGACAGGAAGGGGAGGAATTGTGAAAGAGGAAAGGAGGGGTGGAGCTCTGAGAGAGCTGTGGAGGAAAGGACATGATGAAAGAGAGAGAGTGCAACGGGGGGGGGGGGGGGGGGGGGGGGGGGGGAGATGCGGTTTGAATTCTCAAACTCCACGCCTTCACTCCCCTGGGCGCCATGAGATCTGAAAAGATTAGATGGGTTTAGGTGAACGGTGAGCTCGGCCAGCCATGCAGAGGTTGCACCATGACCAAGTGTGCTGTATCTATTTTAGCAGACGTATAACATGGAAAGCTAGCTAACACGAGGAGTGTCCACATTGAGATGAAGACAGACTTCTGCACGTCCTCCTTCAAGGGGGAGGTTGAAGGTGATAATGGGAGCACAATGTGACGGTGAGTTATGCAGATGTCTGGAAGAGTGACGAATGGCTTTGCCATTCGCTTGGCCATGAATAACATCAAGCCTATTGATGGGAAGAAAATGTATGGCTGCACTGAGGAGATGCTAGCCTTGACTTTGTGGGTGTGCCCCCCTCTGTTATCATCCACTTGTTATTATCAGTCACACACACTTTAAAAGAGAATCACTTTTCCCTCAACTCTCTTTAACCTCGGTTCCCATTCTCATTTCTTGTCACCCTGCTCAATTCTCCTCTACTTCCTTTTTTTCCATTCTTGACTTCCTTTACTTCCCTGAGGCTAATGTCATTTCCTTCAGCAGTGATCTACCGCTCCTACCCCTTCCATCTCCCCC